GCCTTGCTTGGACTGAAAATCCTAGGAAATAGGGCATGCTGGTACTGGGTGGTTTATTCTGGCAAAAAATACTGACAAGAGCAAAGAAACAAGCAAATTCCCCCCAGAAATCCCATGTCTGCAGAACCTCTCTGGGCAGGAGGCATTATTGTAGGCAGTTGTGTGCTGTTCACAGCAAAGCTCTGGGACAGGGACCCTTCCTCGCACTGGGCCTCCCTCTTAACTACAAGATGAACTCGCTCACACACATGCTGTATGCATTATATACATATGAGGTCATCAAATCTTTCTCATTCAGCCTTGGATTATTCCCTTCATTGTTTTCCAGTGTCTAGTCTTGGGCAATTCGTTTTTAACATGCGATTCGGAAACATGACAAAAATCTGTTTACAGAACTAACTGTTGGAGGTACAAACAGCCCGTGCTACTGCACTCCTGCCAGTTCTTGCAGCCTTTATCATGAGTCATTGTGATCCATGCTCTGTCTGAACTCCCAGTAACTGCAGAGGGGATTGCATAAGGACCTCAGCCTTTGTGTTGTCAAAAATAATTTTCGTTCCTCTACACTGCAAAAAAAAGAGAAAAAAAAAAACCCTTGAAATGTGACCCAAGAGCCACTATAAGCAAATAAAACTGATAAGAGAAACAAGAAGACACCCAGACATATTTTTCTTAAGAAAAAGACGTTCCCCAGCCCTACAAGAGTAGCCCTGACAATAAGGACAGAGCTCAAGGTTCAGCTCAAGACTCTCACAGACCCTTGGAATTGTAACACCTTTGAGAAGCAGCACAGCCAACACATCCTTATCTGTTCAACCTGCACCATGTCCACGCTGGATGTGACAGAACACGGAGGCAGCTGCTCTGCCTGCCCTGACTGCCAGCCAGCACCACCTCTGGAAACCCCAAATGGGCTGTGAACCCCCGGCTGCGCCTCTCTGCAGCCCAGAGAAGGAAAGAAAAATCAATCAGAGCACGGGGGTCACCAGGGGAAGTGACAAGTCCTGCTGGGTGGGTGAAGAGTGGCCTTCTGGCAGCACCTGACAGTGCAAAGACACAGCACTTCAGGAAAATTACCCTGATCTCACAATGTCCTGTAAGCAGGAAAAAAGTATTTGGCTTCTGTTTTGTTTGAGTCCTTTCAGAGCCCAAGGATGTTGCACTGCTCCAAACTGTGCCCTGAGATGGCACCAGCCTTCAGGATGCTCTGGGATTGTTCCAAGGGGCTGGAAGGGTCACACCTGCACTGGACACAGCACCCCATTTAAAGCTGTTCTCTCTCCCCATCAAAGGAGGGACCTGGGCTGACTGGAAAGGACATGACCTCAGCTTGCTCCAGCCCTCTGCACCACCCAGGAACACCCCAAACCCACTTGTGTCACAAACAACAGCATCTGTGGCGAGAGCAGGAGCCTGGGAGTCTGGATCTGCACATCCACGTCCCTGCCTGGACAAGGACTTGCCTGTGTGGCTTTGAGGAGACAGGGCTGTGGCCCCAGTCAGCCCCAGGGTGTGTGTCAGGCTGGTGTGAATGAGCCCTTGTGCCTGGAGCCCCACTCTGGGGCTGGCTCTGCTCCTACCCTTCCCCATCAGCATTTCTGGGAGGTCCATGCAGAGAAGAAGCAAAGCAGGACACACTGCAGCAGTGGCACTATCACACCACGTGAGAATTACCAACAGCAAGGGGCAGAGAGATGTCACTCTGACACTAAAAATGTGTTTATGATTGCCAGAGAGAATGGAAAAGGAAGCAGGGAGACCACATCTGCCAGCCCTCAGCCTGCCCAGCAGGAGGACAGGTTACTCATTACCTGCTGGGTGAAGCAAATGGAAGAGGCAAAGCTGGGCAAAGATAACAGCTTCTTAGATGGCTTACAAAAACATTGTCACCTCAGAGACACAGGTTAAAAATTAAAATGAAAATTAATGTTTATCTAGGAGTAAATGATCTCTCAAAAAAAAAAAATCAAAATTTCCCCTGTCAGGGCAGGGTCATGTCACAAGAGAAAACACAGAAAGGGAAGCCCAGAAGAAAAGACAGAGAGCTCTGGGACTGAACCACCCCCAGGGCTGCAGCTGAGAAAGAAAGTTATTCCTTGGGCTGTGTAGAATTATTTGGAGGTTGAGCCCATCCAAATCAGACACTCTTGGACAAAGAGGATCAGAGAGCAGAAACTGAGGCCTCCCTCCCTGCACCTTGGAGCCAGCCAAGAGCAGGTGGGGTTGGGGACATGGACAGAGCCCGAGAGTGGCAGTTCTTCCACAGGAACCCAAAATCAGTCACAGGCAGAGCCTCACACCTGCACAGCCCCGTGTGCTGCACCCCAAACTGGAGCCAGCCTGGCCAGGAGAACAAGGCAGGTCCCAGCTTGGGTTTGACAGGTTACAGCCTGCCAAGTTGTCATAATCTGAGGTATTGATGATTCCGAGACTGTAGAAAGTCTCTGTCTTTCAGCCCCACAGCCAAAGAAGAAGCCATAATTGGTCTGTGCTGGTTTCAAGGTTGTTTATTCTGTTTATCTCTAACATGTTCTGCTGCCCTGCCGCAGCTCTGTCCTGCAGGGCAGCGTGTGGGGCTCTGCCCTCAGTGGGATGGTACAAACATTA